ATGAACATGGAGACGGTGCCCGTTTTCGGCCACATGGATGAGGTGGAGGAGTTCGATGGCCACAACATCGAGGATTGGACGCTATACATCATCAAGCTGGACGCGCTCGGTGAGCCAGACGTATTTCGTAATGCGGATGTGACGCCGGTCTTCGGTCGAAACTACCAGCGTTACCTCGACCTCATCGACAACGCGCCTCGCCATAGAGTCACCCACTTCGTGCGACCATCCAGAACGGTCAGCAGGTGCCACATACCCAAACTTGTAAGAGACCTGCTCGCGCATGAGCTGGGTGATCCTCTCCTCGAGGATGCCGACTGTGCACGCCGATTCAAAAAAGGAATATTCGTGCGGACCAGCGGTATGTTGCAGCAGAGATACGCGGACAGGATAGATGCCGTCATGGTTACGAGCAGTGACGAGGCTTCGGCTGTGGGTGGAAAAATTGTCCCTGTCCTGTGCGAAGTCGATCGCGTCAAGGCCGAGCTTCGTACGGGACAAGGGGACCTTGGCATCGACTCACTTCACACCGGTGATGCATACCTTTGTTTCGACGCAGAACGGACCTGGTACAGAGATGGCTTCTGGGCGTTAGGTGCGATCATTCTCGACGAAACTCGATTACGAGTGTTGGAGACGAGGAACGCTCTCGAACTATGCGGCGCGTCCGAATATAGCTTCCAGTGTGACGCGGTGTTCTTCAGGGGATCTTCTTCGGTGCAAGAAAATATGAGACTCCGCTTCAACCAGTTGTTTAGCGGCAACGAAAAAACCCCCGGCACTCTCAAGTTTGAACCGGCATTGAAGAACCCGCTGTGTGGGGAGAGGAGGGTGTTCGAAGGCATCGTGGTCAAGCTATCGCTGGATGCGTTACCTCCGGCAATGAGGAAAATTCCTTGCCCGTTAAAACCCCGGCTTTTAGTGATCCCTCTGTGGGATGGCATCGGCACCGACTTCAGTTCGATGGAAGAAGCTCACAGCGCCTGGCGTCGTCTCGGCAAGAACACCAAGCGCAATATGTGGCCGGAAATATGCGAGGCCGAGTCACCATCGAAACTAGAAATTTTTCTCCGCGGTATGTTGTCTCGACAAGGTTCAAGTATTGTTTGTGCGGTGACCGGAGAACATGGAGGGGCGGGGAAGAGTTATTGTGCCTTCAACGCTGCCAAGAATATCTTCAAAACGGGGTTGGTCGTTACCCCTACCAATAGTCTGAGAACGTCCTTCACAAACCTGCCATCCGGTTGGAATGTAAAGACCGCTGACCACCAGCTCGGATTCTACCTGGGCGATGATTCTCATGTGAAGAAGACGGCGGGGTCGATACGTACACTTAAGGTCGACGTGATCATCATAGAGGAAGCTGCTTATATGCCTCTCCGTACCCTAAGCATGGTCCTGGCTGCCGCCCATAGCAGCGGTACCCACGTGATCGGGACGTACGACACGCACCAACTCCAGCCCGTTTGCGAGAGCAGCGGCATGTCGATTAGCAGGGACAACGTCAACAGAAAGGTCATCCTCGAAAAAGCCTTCCCCACATGCTTTCATGTCTTCGCGCGCAAGCGGGATAAAACTGTCGACGAACAGGTGGAGATGGACGACGGCCTCTTGCACATTCTGGCCGCAGGAAACGACAGTCACGAGGCGCAGACTCGAGCCATCGAGAGATTTGGTGGTGGTTGTCTCGACGACCCAAGCCCTTCAGACTTTCATCTCGCTTACACTAGAGACTGTGCTCGTTTCTATGCGTTTCGAGGCTTGCTGGGGTGCAACGAGTCTGGAGGCTGGGACGTGCTGGGGCATAAAACAGTTGTTGGTGCACAATATCGGGACCTCGGGAACCCGGGCAAGGTTCACAAGAATCACATGTACAACGTCATCCGATCCTCGGCAGAGACCGTCGTCGTCGCGAGTGCATTTGACGATGGTGCTAGTCTTGAGGAAACTTCACTCTGTCGAGCGGAGGCAGAAAACGTTTTTGATCCTCCAGGGTCGTGCACGGTACACGCCGTCCAGGGCCGTACGGTAGAAGGGAGACTGATCATACACCAGGCCCGACACCCTTACGCCGATGTGTACTGGATATACACCGCCATAAGTCGAGCGACCGGACCGTCGAACGTCAGGGTTATTGACGATATTTACCGAAGCAAGAGCGACATGTCAGACCGAGAGAGGGCATCGTGGGTTTCTAGGAAGGTTTCAAGTTATATATACGCCGACGTTGCGGCCGAGCGTCTCGGATCTGATGAGGGGGGGCAGCATAGAGAAGCTCTCGTCCAAGAACTCCACCGCTCCTATGGGGGGAGGTGTAACTTGTGCAACCATGAACTTATCTGGACCGTTTATAGCGAACGCCAACCGACTCTTGACCGTCTTGACTGTGCTTTGCCCCACACCATCGGAAACGTGGACGTTAAGTGCCTAAAGTGCAACAGAGCAAGAGGAAGCCTAGGGAGAGGGAAGTCCAAAAAGAGGAAGACGAGTTGATTGCACCGTGGTCGACCGGTAGCTTTTAAGACAAGAAACTCGGGAAATAATATATGTGTTGTGTATATCAATAATTCAATCATGAATGATCTTATTTCACAGTGTGCGAGTTGGCTAGAGGGTAACAAAGACCCGGTCCATGTACTCGAGGTCTTGAGAAGCCTGCATCCGGGCTCTCTCAACAAGAATGTCCGACGAGTCAGGCGAGAATGGATGCAAGCATACGGTCCCGGCTATAACGACGGCGCCATCAGAAAGGATCTCAAGCGCATACTCAAAGTCATACAGAGGAAGGCATCGTCGCTGGCCAAGAAAACATCGAGTGATTCAAGGAAGAAATACAGCTTGAAACAGCTCAAAATGGCCGAGAAATCTATTGTTTCGTTCGCGAACTCGGATTTGTTCGGCAAATGGGCAGCCCGAAATACCGTTCACTCACGGAAGAGGTCCTTCACTGGGGTCGTCGAAATAGATGAGCTCCTGCGAAAGGTGAATATACTTCCACCTTACGTCTCCCAGCTGGAACTCACACAGGAAGAAAAGAGCCTTCCAAGGAAAAGACGTCGAGAAGCCTTGGCAGCGAAGTGCGAGAAGAGCATCAGAGTGAACGCAAGCGAACTTATCGATCTCATGGTAGCAATCATTAGATATCCTAGAGCACACTACTTTGAATTGGCGTGCGCGTTATCGTTTGCCTCGGGGAGGTCGCTGCCAGAACTTATTGGTGCTACTGCTGTCCAATTTTCGCCCAGTAATCACGGCACTCACGAGGTAGATGTCAAGGTTGGTGGAAGAACCTGCCGGATACCATTATTATGCGAATACGAACACTTTATGGGGGGTGTCAATCGGTTGCGCGGAAGGAAAGATACATCCCGCCTAACGCCCGCCGAGGTAAACCATCGATTTAGTAAATCAGTTAATTTGTACGCCAGAAAATTGCTTCGTGAAGAAGTCGGATTCCGTGTATTCAGCGATTTGAAGACGCTCCACGTCGTGATTAGTCATAACGTATTCACGGGCCACGAGTTTGATTTGGGTGAATGGGTAAACGTTGCACGCGGTGGTCCGAGTTCGCCTGCCTTAAATCGCAAGTGCGCGGTTGTGAAAGTAGAAGGGATCAACGACAGTAATTTAATGCAGTGGACGGTGTGACTTCAATCCACTAGCATCTTCTTCGTCGATGTCCTTCCTTTCTCAGTGACTGTGCAAAGACTGTGACTCGTTGGATTTGTGTTGCTTGCGCACACACACACGCACACACAAAGTTTTCACGCAATGTTCACCAAAATTTCATTTTTCACACAGTTTTCACGCAATATTCAACGAATTTCCAATTTTCACTAAATTTTCACACCACCACCACCGATATCTTGTGTATGAAACAAAATGTTCACACACGTCCGAATGACTACGACTACCGCCCCGGGAGAAACACCTGTTCTCTACCTTGATCGCGGTCTCGTGTTGCAAACACTACGTGATTTCCACAAGTTTTCACATTCACAAACATACACACACAAAATTTCACGCAATATTCAACGAATCTTCACACCGCCACCACTCATGCCTCGTGTACGAAACAAAATGTTCACACACGTCCGAATGACTACGACTACCGCCCCGGGAGAAACACCTGTTCTCTACCTTGATCGCGGTTTTATTGTTTCGTAGCAACAAATGCTTCTTCTGTGAGAGTCTGTGACACAGCATCTTTCGCATCGAACTGTCAAAACGTGCTCTTCTGAACAAAACATAATGCGGAACACAGGGCACCCGATAAAACACACCGCCCAAGGCGATAATAATAATTCTCTCACTGCAATTGGTGATCGCGTGTGACCGCCTAAAACCCACCTTCAAACGGGTGGTGATGGTAAAGCCGCCTTCAAAACCACATCCGAGTGAGGATATATGAACGCCGGATCTGCTGACTAAAACTATATATATAACGGAATAAATGGTGAAGTGACCACCTTCAAACAGGTGGTGATGGTAAAGCCACTTTCAAAACCACCTCCATGTGAGGATATATAAACGCCGGATCTGCTGACTAAAATTATATATACAACGGAGAAAAGGATGATGGAAAACGAAAACAATATCTCTCTCTGCCACACCTCCGGAGCAGAAATGACGGGGCGGATAGTTCTACGGCAACACGCACTGCCGACCATTTTCCTTGCTAAATTCACACTTCACACCGCCAACATCCAATATACCAGTACGTCAAAAGAGGTGATGTTGCCCGGTGACAAACCGCGTCGTTTCAATCGCCCGAGGGAACAGACAAAACTGAATGGTCTCCCGTCTACCCAGGAAGGCTGTGGCTAGCCCCCGTCTATAACACGCCACCAAAGTGTGGACACATCGTCGTGACCAACTCTCGACCAGGCTACCGGCGATCAAAACGCGCGACCCATCTGTCTCAACTGTCGACAGGGCAACACCTGCCACCCTCCTGAACTAATTGCCCCCCGACGCCTTTTTGGCCACCCTCGTCGCCTCCCTCCCGACTGCCTTGAGGAGGCCATCCTTGGTGATCGTTTTCACCTTCTCGTCGGTAGGCTTGAACACGCCACGGGGTTTGTTGGCGTGCTTGTTGCATCTCACTGTGCCACTTCCGCCGACAACCATGTGGTCCAGTACCACCACCCTGCGCTGCCCTCCACCGTAGAAGAACCATGAAAGCTCTCTTGGCTTTCCACAGTTTGAGCACGTTGCTGGCTCTGCCTTGAGACTTTCTTCGACAGCGTGGTTGGTCCACTGCGCCGAGGTGTCGGCGGGGCGAATAGAAGCCCCTTGTTCCGAAGAGAGGGATCTGCCGTCGCCCCCCTTTTCGCGGCCGTAGAGCGTCTTGTCGCCGGCCGCGCCTGCATGGAGATAGTAGACGAACCGTGCAAGACCAAAGGAAAAAAAGATGAGCAAAGGTGGGAAACTGCGAGCCATTCAGTCGTTGTGAGCTGGAGGGTTTATGAATTTATGAATGAATGAGACCGGTTTGTCACCATTTCCTATGAATTAACAACAACAACAACAACAACAACAACAACAACAACAACAACAACAACAACACACGAACAGAAACGGAAACGCCTGCAACGAACACGACGGGCGGGGGGAATAGGCTCAATCCAACNCACGAACAAAAACGGAAACGCCTGCAACGAACACGACGGGCGGGGGGAATAGGCTCAATCCAACCATGCACCATGTTGTTCGCTCTTAAGCCATCGCGTTCTGTTCGATCGACTGTCAAATTTTCATTCCAAAAGTAAAATTGCACGCTTTGGCGGCAACAACAACAACAACAACAACAACAACAACAACACGTAGAGAAACCACAACTTACCCCCGCGGGAGGAGTCTTCAGAGCGCTGATCCATCGCCCTCTGCTGGAGGGGTGTAGGCGCCTCGTTCCCCTCCACCACGGCCATGGGGATTGTCACTTTGGCGCCGTCCACCGTCGCCGTCCTTGCTGCAACAAAAAGAAAAGCAAGAATATGAGCAAGGGAAAACAAGGGAAAACAACAACAACGACGGCAACAACAACAACAAAAACAACAACACATTTCATTTCATACACAACCCTCACCGCCTTCGGCCTTGAGCTCCTTCGTGCTCTTCTCCCTGCTCTTCTCCCTGCCCTTCTGTTCGATCGACTGTCAAATTTTCATTCCAAAAGTAAAATGCACGCTTTGGCGGCAACAACAACAACGCAC